ATAAATAATAAAATAAATAATAAAATAATTAAATAATAAAAAATAATAAATGATAAAATAAATAATAAAATAAATAATAAAAAGTATTAAATAATAAAATAAATAATGAAAAATAATAAATAATAAACAAATAATAGATAATAAATTATTTTTATTATTTTTTATATTTTACTATTTTTAGATTTTTTGTTTTTTGACTATTTTTAGAAATTGTAATTTTTCTTGAATTTATGAAATTATTATTACTATTATAATAATAATAATTTATATTTTACTTATTTGTTTTATAGCCAGCTAACACTTTTATCTTTTAGATATTTTGATTTTTGATAATTTGTTAAGTATTTTTGATTAATGAAATATATTTCTTTTAATATAAATAATCAAAATAATAACTAATTTAATCACAAAATTTTTTTATTTCATATTAATTTGATTTTGAGCTTTAGAATATTTTTAGTAATATCAATTTTGATAAAATTAGCTTTACAAGTTTTTTTAGAATAAAAGTACTAACAAAAATTTTGAGCTTACTTTTATTATATATTATTCTTTTTTTTTGATCAAAATATTTTTTAATATTACTTTTTATTACTTAAAAAATAACTTATTGAATTTTTATTAATTAATTTTCTTAATTTTTCTATTGGCTAATTTGTTTAATTTTTCAATTACTAATTTTTTATTGATTAAAATTATAAATAAACTCATAAATTATATGATTATTTTTATAAGCTAATAAGTCATAAATAATTATATAACTTATATAGAGATCATAATAGATTATAAACTAATATTGTTCTAAAGTGACTGATTTATATTTGTTGATTAATTTTTTATTAAAAATTAATTATTAAAAAAATGAATCTGTTACTTTAAGATATAATATTTTAATATCTAATAATTTGATTTAAACAAAAATATTATTTAATTTGTTTAATTAGACAAATCAAATAATAATATTTTTGTTCAAATCAGATTATTAAATATTAAGAATTAGATTTATTGAATATTAAAATATATATAAATTATATTTGTAATATAAAAGTTTATAAATATATAATATTTGATATAGAAGTTTTATTAACTTATAAAATATTAATAATTAATATTATAATATTCTTTATACTTAGAAAAATTTGATATATTATATATAATCTACAAAAAATTAGGAGAAATCAAATATTTTTATAATTAACTGTACTTTAAAATTAAGATTAACTTGAAAGAAAAAAGAAAAAATTGAATTTTTATATTAATAAACAAGTTATTTGAGCAAATTTAGAACTTTTAAAATAATATACAAGAAACTTAGCAAAAATTCTATAAGTTAAAATCTTTGAAATAAATAAAAATATATTAAAATATATATTTATTAGTTAATAATTTATATTAATATAACAAGTATGTGATATTTATTTATTATAAATTATAATATATTATAATATAAATTATAAATAGTTATAACTAGATAATACTTTATTTATTACTATATTATAATATTTATTATATTATTTTTAATTATAATAATATTTAATTATTTTAATATAATATTATTTATATTAATTTAGTATTAAATTTTTAAAAACTTATTTATAATAATATTGAATATAAAAATAAGTTCAAATAAAAATAAAATAATAAATAGTTTTATATTTATAAGTTATATTTATTAATTATAAAATTAACTTAAATAATTATTTAAATATTAATATAAGAGAAAAAAATATTTTAATTATAATATTTAAATATAAAAATTAAGTTATTAATAAATAAAAACAAAAAAATTAAACAATAATAGAATTATAATAATATTTACTAAATAAATATAATAATATAATAATAATAATATAAAAAATTAATAATACTAATATTATAATAAATAAAAATTAATATATAAAAACAAAACTTAATATTTTTTATTATTAGTTAATATAGTTATAAAAGTATATAATTTTTAATTTAGAAAAAATAACAAATAAATAAAAAAATAAATAATATCAATAATATATAATCATATAAAAAAGTTATAATTATTACTTTATTATTTATTTAAATATTGCAAAAATATTAATTCGATAATCTATTTAAAGTTAAAATAGATAATAATATTAAATCAAAAATTTCTGTTCAAGAACCAATCAAATTACTTAATTTTTAAAATTGAATAATTTAATTAATTTTCAAGCAAATTTTTTTTGATTTAATAATATTATATATTTTATGTTTAGTTTTATTATTAATTAATTAATTTTGATTAAAATAATTATATGTAATATATCAAATTTAATTTAACAATTATTTTAAATATAATTATAATAATTAATAAAATTATTAAAAATAAAATATATTTTTTTATTTATTTTTTATTTACTATACTATAATAATATAATCAAAAACTACAAATTTTTATGTAAGTTGTATTTTAAAATTAAATTAATATAATTTTGTTAAACTAATATTGGCAAATTAAAAGTATATCTTTTGATTATTTTAAAAATATAAACTAAATAAAATTGATAAATACTTTATTTTAATATCTAATCAAAATATTATAACTCAAATTTAGAAAATATAACAAATTATTCAATAAATTGAATAATTTTAGTAAAACTCAATCATAAAAAATGAATATTATTGGTAATTAAATTGATTTAATTATAGCTTTTGGAAAAATAAATAACAAAAAATGAGTTAAAATAATTATTAATATCAAAAGTATTTATTATAACAATACTAATTGATAGATTTTATAATATAATAATAACAAATTCACATTATAATTATTAATAATACTATTACTTTCTAATTCAATATATTTTATAGTATAATGACAACAAATTCTTATTATAATTATTAATTATGTGATTAATAAATTTTATAGTATAACAAACACAAATTTTTATTATAATTATTAATAATATGATTTTCTTTTATAATATAGCAACTGCAAATTTTTATCATTATATCAACAAAATAATAAAGTTCTTTTTTAGTATTTAGCATGAATTTTCTTAATTCCTGTACCTTTTTCATTGATTTACAGGATTTGTCATTATCTTATAATGTCATTCTCACATTTTCTCATCAAATTTACAGAATATTCTCATCATCTTTTTATCAATTTACAACATCTTTTCATTAATTTTTTCATTGATTTCTTTATTAGGGAAATATAGTATCCCTTAGATAATATAACAATACTTACAAACTCTGTAATTAATAGTTAGTATCATAACAATTGTAACAACAAAAAAGTGTATAAACGAATGACCTTTCGGCTATTAATAAAGATAGATTTGAAATTTCACACAATTCTTCTCCAAGAAAAATCTCTTAAATAAATTATTACTTGTAAAACTCTTCCTCTTTCCACCATATTACATTGTTGGTTATGTCTTTTGTACCAGAAAAGGCATTGTTTTTGTGGAATCTTATTCATGTGAAATTGTATTTCAATTGAGAAACCATTTTTGTTGACTAGTTATTTAAGGCTTTTGACTAGAAAAAGCAACGATTGGAATTAATATTTAAGACTTGGCAAGAAAAAGCGACGATCAAAACCCCTTCCGCTCAAAGAACATGAATCCCCAAACATCTATCTAAAGCACATAATCTCTCCCTAAATCAACTTATTTGACGATATCAGCACAGGCTTTAGATACCGGAACAAATACTGCTCAGTCTATTATCCTCTCCCAAGTCTTGTTGCAGTGGAAATTCCCCAACTTCGCTCAACAAAACACTACTATGTAATTAGATTAATAATAGACACTCCAATAGCATGTGTACGAATACCGTTAACACTGAGCTTCATCCGTATATATAACCACTCCTTTTGCAGGCATTTGGCCTTAAAATCATACCTTTTTTCTAGATACGTCCAAGATTGGACTAATAAGTCCGAAGTGGATGTCACTGGTAACCAAACTTCCATTATGATGTCTGTTATTTATTGCGAAATGATCACAATTTATGATGCTCGGAGTGATAAAAAATATCGCATGCTAAATTTTATATCTCGGACCAGAGTAAAATCAGACTATCCCTTAAACCGTATAGCAAGCAAATTGCCTGCTAAACCTGACGGTTTAAGGGATAAATTCAGGCACAGTCACGTGAATTTTCGACTCCAATTTTCAGGCAGACCGACCTGCATTTAATGACACATAAAATGCCTATAATGATCTGTACTGCGAGTTAGATAATTTGTATGTAATAATGCGAATATATTGATCTGTCTTAGTATAATGATTTTGGTATTTAGGATACTGATTATCTTTGTAAGATTGTTGGAACAATGAATGACAAATATTACTAGCAAATTCTTTCAGATAAATTTTTATCTTTTTGAAAGTTCAAGTTTGCGTGCGAAAAAAATTAAAGATGTTTTATGGCCTTGATAAAGAAAGGCAAGTCAGGGTTTAATGTGCAAAATACCTTTTCATTTCTTTCAACACATCTCAACTCTCTCCATTATTTTTTACTGCACAAACTGTCTATCGAGTGACCGAAAATCCAACCCACCTCTTAATCGATAAACGTAAGACTAGGAAAGCAGAGTACTACGACATTTCTAGAGCACGCAGAAATGAATTTTGGGAGAGTATCGCTACAAAAATAAGTCAACAGCACGGATCGAACTTTAATGGATACCATTGCAAGGAAAAATTTAGCGTAAGTATATCTCATCCTGATATCTACGCAAAAAGCCTCACAGATTTGACGTGGTTCAAATATTTTGATATTAGCGATGAATTTAGTTTGCCTAAGTGTCAAAAATCGTTTTATTAAAATTTCTGAGACCATGCAACATGCATCATAAAATATCTGTAGGTGTGATGATCAAAAGCCCATTTGGGCATAAATTTTATTTCGATTTCGATTACATGACAAGATTGAAAGCCATTACAAGCCATATAAGAAATAATCACGGGATGGCATTGTGATTTGACAAAAGATCACAGTTTTTCTCCTCGTTAGATAGGCTCAAAAATGAGCTAGGCCGACATTCGGCGCCGTGCGTAGTATAGATATACTCCATAACGCATTGGTAGGTTTTTCGAGCATACCTCATCGCGCCAAACGAGACCACAGCAAATAAGCATCGCTAAAGATTTTTGTACTTCGGCAGTGTATTGGATATCGCGTACAGTGTACTTTGCATCGATTTGAAGCAAGTTGATTGATATTTGTCTACGAATATATCCGAAAGATTAACCGAGACCAACTACAAAAGAAAAATATGATTATTACATGTATAATTTTTAAATTTTTCTCATTCTTCACCCATTATTCAATTTACTCTCGTTATTATACATGTTATATTTAAGGATTGGGTTTGTATTAAAATTCGAGTTTCTTTTCGCAAATTCGAAACACAAATTTTTAACCGTATTAATACATGTATCGATATTGCTAAAATATTAAATAAAAACTAAACTTAATTATTCCAAACAAATTTTTCTTCTAACAAGAATTAAACTTGAACCAAAAGAGAAAATCGAAACTCGCATCAATGAGCAGAAATGAATTGGCACTATTATTAGATGGACTACTAGTTGTCGGAATAACTACTACTTTTGATAAAGGCACAACGGTCGTAATTGTTTGTACAGAAGAATTATCCAAAGTGGAGTGGTAGTAATTAATTTGTTGCGGAAGTTGCTATAGTGGATGTAATATATTTTACGTTAGTTAATCTAATAGGACTTTGAGTTTGCTGCAAAGTAGGCAAATTATTCTTGATAATTTCTTGTGTAGGCATTTCATTTTGTGGATTTGTCAGCCTTAATAGTTTGCCTTAATAATTTGCTGAACGGATTGATAAGTAGCTGTAATTGTATTTTTAGCACTTACCGTTACTGATGCAGGTGGATTATTTCCGGAAGAATTCGGCTGATTATTGTTATCGTTATTTCCTGAGCTAAATGAAACAGATTTGAATATAATGTTAACAGAAATGTGGCCTAATTTATTCGATTTTGGTAAAAACTTATATTTCAAGGAAATATTCTATTGATTAAAATCACATAATCAATATAAAATTTACCTTGAAGACGTGAAACTCGGAAGAATATTAGGCAGATTTTGCATAGTTGCAGTCGTAGGTGCTGGCTGTGCTGTTGATGCTGAAATAGGTTTTGGAGCAATAGTATGATTGTTGCCTGGACTCGGAGTTGTATATGTTACTGTCGGTGGTGGTGGGAAACTCAGAAGAATATCAGGTGGAATTTGCTTAGTTGTAGTCGTAGGTGCTGGCTGTGTTGTTTGTGTTGGATTGTTGCCTAAACTCGAATTTGTATATGTCACTGTCAGTGATACCTCCACATCACACTAAAACATTACGATCAAATTAAAATTATAGTTAAATTTAGTTATACATACAGTTGACATTAACAGTACATGTATATATTAACAAAAAAAAGTGATTGCTAATAAATTATGTTCAATGCACATACTTTTGGACATATCAACATAGCTGGAATTAAAATGTGTCGTTATGTCATTAGAGCTATTGTGTAACTACGTAGTCTGTCAATATTGTTTATATTAAGTAACAATTATAGTATTTCTCAACAACAAAATTTTTTATCTTAATAGAAACATTATTGACAAACTGGTAACATTTTAAAGCAGTTTTTTATTGGCGCTCTTTAGGCTGCTTGCACTGTATGATTTAAAAATTTCTTATATGTAGTTGTGTTATTGGTGTAAAATCAGATGCTGTTTTATTGAATAAACTTGTGATCAAATTTTGGCGTTTATACATACGTATATACATGTACATGTATATGCAAATAAATATAAGTTTTTTTAATGTTACGAAATTATTTAATTTATAAATTATTAATCAAGTTATTAAGCTATGATTCATGTGTATACTATATAATCACGTATTTATCTGTTTTGATAACAAAAGTTATCATTAAATGTATCTTTACTTTAGAAAAAAAAGAAACAAGCAGTGAGAACAATAATAATGGCTCTATCTTTTAAAAAAAGTTATTTTTCAGTGGGATTATTGATTGATGATTGATTGATTGATTGAATGCATGTAATAAAAAAAAACAAATGACTAAAGATGTAAATCAAAGAAATAGTTTCTTTGTTTGCTTCTTTCGTAAATATCATAGAAAATAAAGATGATGATGATAATTCATTCTTTTTAATGTGACCTTATAAGGAGCCATTGTTGATAAATAAATAGTAATGAATCTTTTTACACAGTATAAAGGCATAGAAACATTTTCACATACCGTAAAACGCCATGGAAACCATCCCGCCTTTGGAGAAAATTTAAACCTTAATTTAGTCAGATTCTTTAATAAAACCAATCATTAAATTTCTACAAAATGAATAAATCAAGATTCGCCGTACAATTTATTTAATTTTTTGTACTAAATTAATAGTTTTGAAGCTAAATTAAGGTTTAAATTTTCTCCAAAGGGGATATGGTTTCCATGGCGTTTTACGGTAATTGCTCCATGCACTATCATGTGAGTTTAAGAAATTCAAAGATAAAGTTTTCTCAGTCTCAAGCTATTTTTGTCAAAAAAGCGGCATAAACACGATTTGGTCGTATTTTGTGAAATAAAGAAATAACGGTAGTTTCTTAATCTTCTTTTATTAAAATAGATCCTGTTATGAAAGAATAATATATTTTGTCTTTTATTGGTTATGACAGTTTAATTTTCAATAAGACGCATTCCTGCTAAAGATAATCTAGTTCTTGAACCAGAATCTTTTTTTTGTAAATAGAACAAACTATTAAGACCAAATGTAATACGTAATAACGATAAGCTTTGATTTACAAAGTATATCCAAATATATTATTATTCAAAAAAAATTTTAATATAAAAATTTACAATTATGATCACAAAAATATGTCACACTCTTTCCCTCCATAGTCACATCTTATAGTCATCAGATTTCTGTTTCCCGACCCTGTGATTATGACGACTATCCCTTGCCGATCCAACTCTAGTGATAATATTATTTTAATGATAATAACAATGGAATTAAGGGTCAAATGTTTAAGTGTAAAGTGATTTTTTGCATCATTAATTTTATGATAGATTTGATATTGATAATAAATAATGGATTATATTTACTAAAATAAAAATCATCTGATATGTGATTATTATTTTTTTACTATGCTAAAGCGGCCTTGTAATTAGGTATTGAACTTTTGACTGATTCAATATATGACCTTTTTAACCAAGGACATTTGACAAATTTAGCGCAGCTACCTAATATTTTTTATGGTAGTGTAAAGATGAATGTTTGTCAAACATACTGTGAGAAAAATGTCAAATTTCACAGATAACGCACCTAACAGCTACATACGTAATGCATTTTCATAATTGTTATAATCCTGTAATTGTTCATTCAAAATTTCCTTTATATATCGTGCAAGTTTGCATAGAGCTTTGCAAAAGAGGGAAATGACCATTGTTTTCATTATGAATGAATATAGTGCAATGACGGGTCAGGAGAGAGTGCACAGTAATTTGAATAACGATAAGAGATCTTATTTTTTCAATAATGGTAAAATGAAATTCCATATCGGCAATTTTTACAACAATAAAATTCAATACAGTAATTATATTGCATTGATATTTTAATGCTGAAAAAGAAAAACCTAAGAATTAAGATTATCAAACATTTGAAGAACAAATAATAACGATAAATAATAAATATTTTTAAAATTTTTCATATTATTCTGAGGAAAAAACTTGCAATTATTCCAAAAAAATTACAATTGAATTAATTGATTTAATTTAATAATTCATAAATCCATATTAATTAATGCTTATACATGCATTTAGTTTAGTATTAGTGAATAATAAATCATAATGCTTTTATAAATTACGTAACGTTAACGTTAAGTACGTAAATGATCATCTGTTGTGTTGATCCCTAGATATGTAGTATTAATCCATAAATAAATTATATTACAAATTAAAGAAATGATAATTGAATTAGAAATTAAGAAAAATATACAAAATATAAATGTCATCAACAATAAAACGCACGTGAATTCATTTAATAATTAAAAATAATCGAAATCAATAGGTCCAACATCTTCCAGCGTAACAAGAAGGTCTGCATGTTCAATTCCTGTTATCACTACTTTTACCAAATCCTCAGGTATATACTCGAATGATTCATCAATGGATCTAATCACAAATTGTTTTCCTGCTGGTGGCATTGCTTTATAAGTGGCGAATGCAATTAAGGATGCGAAGGTTGTATTCTCACCGATAGCAATTTTTTGTTTGTATATTTTTACCTTGGATCTTATTGTCACAGACTTTAAGATTGTTTCTAAATATAGCAGAAAAACCATAACGATAATGAATGGATGTTATAATTACAGTAAATTGATCAACCACCATGATTTATTCTCACCTGATGTCAATCCAAAAGCGTGGATTTGCTGTGGAGAAGAAGATGCGCTAGCTGATGAATCTCTATACAACACCAATTGGATTTGCTTGTCGTGTTCGTTAATGTTATCAACAAATGCTTGCCAGAAACGTGTGAATGCTAACTCATCAGTTAAACCGAAATGTTGTGAATTACCGATTCGACAATGGAGATGAGAAGTATCAACGGTACCCCATTGAGATGGCAAGTTTAGCGATGCAATATTCATATATAACTGACGTAAATTCTGTAAGGAATCGATAGAGTTTAAATTGCTAAGCGGCACATTTACTTGCTGACTCATAATTACATGCGGAATGGATGTGACATCGAAACAAACTAATGGAATTATTTTTGATTGTTCTGAATTTTTATTTGGATTAGAACCATAGTATAATTCTTATAGAATAAAGACTTGATTGTTTAATTAATTACCTACCATTACAAGATTCGTTATTATAAATTATTTGGCTTGTATTTTTATTGTTATTATTATCAACATCCATTTCTACCAACATATTTATAACATCCGCAGCAGGAGTTGTCGTATTGGCAGTTGTATTATATTCTATAGAGTTTATGGGCGCAAATGTAACTTGTGGTTGATGAAGATGATTATGGTGATGAATTATTGACTTTTTCTGAATTTCCTCTTCATGAGCTCTTAGTTCGTCTAATGCTTTCTTTATTATAGGACCGAAGACTTGACCCTGCCAACCGAAACCTAATGCGATGTTGTAAGCTTGCATGTGTTGCAGATATTGTTCGAGAGATCCCGCTTTTATTAATGCTTTTCTTTTTGAATCAATATATTCTTGAAGTGCTTCTTGTGTAATCGGAAAATAATTTCTCGATTCACCAGGATGTAAATTTTTTATCACATTTATAAAATTAGTCACGCCAACCCTCGACGCTCTTGTATCTATGCTCGGTAGGCGTCTGCCTCCTCGTCGATTTTTATCTTTATTATTGTTGTCGTTCTCGATTGGATCAGAAGATGAGCTTGGAGCAATGTCTTCTATGGCTTCAATATTAGATAACTGTTGTTGAATTGGCGGCATGAAGTTTATGTTTGTCGTAATAAAAAGGATGATTTTATTTGTTTATGCGAGTGGCCTGTATAATGCCACGTGGAAATTTAAAGAGCGGGAAATTTTGTCTTATGTAAGCACCTTTTGTTTTGTGAGGTGGAAATTTGCCATCTAATTTTGCTTTTTCATCGAAGATATCGATATATATAGTAATAATAGAATATTATTTGGGGGTGGGAAAGTTTTTGATAATCCCATATCAAATAGAGCATTGGATCATGAATAAAAAATATACGTATATCGATATAAATTAATTGTGCAAGTACATGTAATAATTAATATACATGTAATTAATAATAATAATCATGGGAGATCATGATGAAAAACGGATTATGGTGGAAATTTTGGCCAAAATTGTGTAGATCATGAGATCATTTGGCTAGAATTTCTTATAATAAAAGAGCAATATTTTGAAAATAATGATAAATGCATAAAATATATAACTTAAATAATATTTATATTGCTATATACTATGTAAATTTATGAGTATGATTATTATTCATAGTTTATTATAATAGATATTGCAAATTTTCACCATACGTTTTTTCATCATGATCCCCCACAATTATTAATCATCATTACCGTTCCGTTACGTATTAATTTATATTTAATTTAGAAAATTTCAATCTAAATAGAATTTACGTATATTGATATGTAAATATATAGAATTTGTGTTTAATTATATCGATATTGTATATTTAGTTCCCAAATATATAACGATAACGATATTATTAAATATATTAAGACTGGGTCAGCGAAACAAACAATATTATTGATATTCTACCACAAGAAAACGAAGGAATAGTTTCCTTTGTTGTCTTCTTTTGGTCGGAAACGATAGCGTAGTTAATTATTATCGTTATTTAATATTATTATTATGTATTATTATTACTGTTGTTATTGTTATTTTTGTTGTTCTCTTTGTTATGTTGATAGCGATAGTGAAGTTTAGTTTTTAAATGAAATAATTAGGAAAAGAACTTGATTTATCTATTCAAAAACCAATAATATCTTTTCCTTCTTATTGTCAATTGTCAATTGTGAATTATGTATTAACTATAATAATTTAAAAATACTGTATTATCGAATTTTCTTTTTAAGCGTATAAATAAAATAATGAAAAAAAAGCTAAATTCAGATAACAAAGAATAATAAATGGAGGAGAGGTGTTAAATTCAAAGCTATTAAAACGTGAAATATTCTATGTGTGTCTGTGCTGAATGACTTTATCGTTATGTTCTCATTGTATGCAAATGCAATCTAAGCTAGATACGTATAATGATAACATTAGTAAAAATTTTGCAAATATCATTGTATCGAGAATTTATTATAAAAATCATTATATCGAGGAAAGTTTGTTATACATGTATCAAGTATATAATCTGATAGAACTAGGTAAAATTGAAATAAATATTACGTACAACATGGGAAATTCGGCTGTAAATGCGTCAATAAACATGCGTAAAATTCAAATAAGGTTAGTAATAGGATAAACATACGTATGTAGTTGCATACAATGGTCAATATGATAACAATATCGAAATATACATGTACATGTAATTGGTATTGACCCCCAGCATTCGGCTTATGTATACAGTAAACTAATATAAAAATTTATTTGGTGCTATTTGATGACCGAAAGTATATTACAGAGCGATTTCGCTACTCATAAAGTAAATAAAAGATTTTCTAGCTAGGTCCTTATCGATTTCAAAAAGTATAAGTTACTAAGCCATTTTTTTGAAGAACGTGGCAACTGTAAATCTATACTAAATTTTTTGTGCAATAAATACATTACAGTGAGACATTTAGATACATCCTCCAGAAGTGCTCTCTCTCTCTGAATACACGCTCTGGCTCGATCCCAAACGATAGGTCCTTATATTTGAACTTATTCTCTAAATGCATACACTCTATAAATGCACGCTCTCTAAGGAGTGCATTTAGAGAGAGTTGACTGTATTTTTATTTTTAATGCAAGAAACCTTTTACGCAATGATACATTAATTGCCCGATTTGCAAAAATTTTTACACTAGAATTTACTTAGAGATGTCGCCTTATTGAACATTTGATTAACTTGCTTTGATTTTTATGTGTTATATTGAATTACTCGGTGTATTTTGTGATATATAGCTCAAAATAAGTAAGTCCTGTCATGAATAAGCAAAATTCCAAAGAAGTTCAACAAGAGCTTGATATTTAATAGTTACATGCAACATCGGAAGAAAATATAATGTCAATAATTGTTTAATCTTGAGAAATTTTTGTAAAAACAAGGAAGCAATTGGAACCTCAAATGAGGTGACAAGAAATAACATATTATTATGCAGTAAAACAAAAGCGCGCACATTTAATTCGTTTTATGAGTGCAATATTTATTTCTTATTGAACAAAAATGCAACCACTAAAACCGATGCATGTATATTGACGCATTTGAAGTTTTTATCGATCTTTGCAGACATTTTTTATATGATGTATATATACGTCCAGAGGGTCACCGATCACTATAACACGTACCTTTAAACTATAATAACTCAGCCAATATTGGTTGTTTTGTATAAAATAATTATCAAAATGTTCGTCTCTATAAGACAAATACAATGCACTAAAAATTCTTAAATTCTAATCACTAGTTGCTAAAAAAAAAAAACTATAGTTCAAAGATTATATAACTTCTGGTTCTACGGTCAAGGCTCGATTTAGCGATGAATCAGTAATCAACTTTCAAGATGCCGCTAACATGCTTAGTCGAGAGAGAATACTGATAAACATCGCTGAATTGAGCGCGACTTGAATTGGAAACAAGAGTCGCTAACTCGCGATTTCATTAAATCGAGCCCTGACTGTATTCCTTATGTTATATTGAATATCAGAATTAAACTATCTGATGATGTATATACTTAGTGCTATTCTCTTAAATAGATAAATCATGCTATGATAAATTTAAACTTTGTAAATTGGTTGTATTATATGACGCTGGTAATATCTTGAAAGATTCAGCAGTAAATCGAGCCTACTAATAGACATCGTTAAATTGAGCACGTTTTGAATAGTGATCTGGGAACAAGAGTCGTTAACTCGTGATTTCATCAAATCGCATAGTCTTTATATCGAATCCGGATTGTATCTTAAAAGTTGACTACCGGTCCATCGGTAAATCGAGCCCTGATTGTATCTTGAAAGTTGATTATGTATAATCTTAAATGAGATATCTAGGGATAGATATTTGAGGGTTAAAAATCAAAGGTGCTTTTGGTACGATAGCTGTATTTGCAGTGTCGATAAGTGTATTCATCGGGTTGAATTGAAAATAAGGCAATTGATGTTATTGTCACTATCAATCAATTTAATATTGTTATCGTATCGTCAATACGCCAAAATTGTCGATGAATGTACGGTAGTCATGCTATTATACTTACATTATTATAAGGATTATGCTGAGTCAATGATGTGAAATTGGACACCTTATAAAAAAAGGCAAACATGTAAAAAACTTGGAAATTGCAAGGAATAGTACGAGATGGCCTGGCATAGTACATACAAGCCCGGAAAATGCGACAAATTCCGTATACATAAAAACACGTTTCGGGCATAGTTTTTTTAACACAGAAATTGACAGTCCGTACTTATGCGTGTGGTTCCGTGCTAAAAAACTACCAAAAATATGTTGATGTATACGAAATTTGTCGCATTTTCTGTGCATTTACGTACCATGCCGATTTGTATCAATCCTTGCAATTTCTGTGAATTTTACGTGCTCGCTTTTTTTTATAGGGACAAATTACTAGTCATATATTTATTGTTATTTCTTGAAAGAGTTATTATTTATTGAAGTCGATTGGCAGACGAAGTAAATGCGTATTTTTTTTTTGTTTCCGAAAAATAATTTTTTTACGGCTTGAATCTTTTGCATTTTTTGGCTTATATTTACAATTAGGTCACATGATTTTTTACAAGCCATTTTCTCCAATATTTTGAAAGAAGCTCTTGATGGTGTTTCCATTTCAAACTGCAGCATTTCTTTGCTGTATGTTTAATATTGTGTTTGACATTAGGATCAAATAGACGTAAATTAGCCTCATAATCTTTTTGAAAAATAATCCAACTATTTTGTGGTCTTGGTGGTTTTTCGCGTTTCTTCGCAGGGTTAGTTAACTCTTCAATCCGGTGACGTTCAACATCCCGAAAACACATAAGCCCGACAAACGAAATTCCGAATGCACGGTATCCCGAATGCACGAAATCACAAAGGTACAGTGCAGGTCACTTATTTACCACACAAAAAGTGAATTGGCTTTAAATCTATCAGAATCCCTCCTTATGATTTAAAAATTAAAAAATACGTAAATTGATAGTTCATTAAATTCTGATTATCGAGTTGATAGCTGTATATTTGCTAATAATAACTACCATAAAGCACTGGACCCAAGTACTTTCAATTATATGTTTAATAAATATGCCAGAATTTTTTTTCCTTTCCTCCTTTCGAGTTTTAGTAAAAATTAGTGGACATCTTTACCTGATTTGGGGGGTGGCTAAAACCTGGTGGACATGTGTTTATCAGTGTTAAAGGTTGATTTATTAGCATTAGGGTTAGAGTTAGAGTGAGTATATGTAAAATTGCCTCCCCGACGTTAGTGCTCCAAGATAGATTAAAGCATATATTTTCCATATTTTTCATTTTGCTTCGGATTTATTTTTCGAGTTGATCAAAAATTTACGTATTTTTATTGGCTTGTTTCTCGGACAGATCACCGAATTTATCAGGCTTTAACAAACTCCTGATTTGGTATTGAAAATTTGGCCAGTGGCGCAGTATTGTGGTACTATAAATATTATAATGAGAAAAGAAATAGCTTACATAATTACTAAAATAAAAAAGATTAACAAAATAATTTCTTGTGTTAAATATCCTTTACAACTTTATTTTTTTTACAACTTAATTTACACTTTATTTATAATTTTATTTAACTATATATTTATTTATAGCTTTATTTATCTTTTATAACTTCTCATACAATTTTATTTATTTTTTATAACTTTTATAACTTTTATATATAAGTTTAGTTATATGACCTGGTACAAAAAATGTTAATACATCAAAAAGTAACAGTAAAACATTTTTTAATTATAATTATAAACTTTATTAATTAAAAGTTTATAATTTTTTTATATTATTAAAATTATATTATTTATAATATTTTTATTTTTTATTATCTTTTAATAAAATTTTAGATAAAACAAAAATTTTTTATAAATATGTAATATTATAAATTTATATTAAGCAAGTATATTAATATATATAATAAATATATATAATAAATATATATAATAAATATATATAATAAATATATATAATAAATATATATAATAAATATATATAAT